TCCTTCATCGGAACTGGGATTTCGGGTGTATGCTTTCGGGTTTGTATATGTGCGCATTATTACAAGTTAACTCGTTTCAAAGACGCTCTCTATAGTGCGTGTCTGGGCGATTTCTCGCTCATCGGGAATAAATTAATGGTTAGTGAGGCTGACATTGTTTCCGTGCTTTGAAAAGCGCACCACCGTTTACGAGAATGGTTCAGGTTCCCTACAGGTAATTTATGCAGAATGCAAATATTTTTTGATGGGTAAATGCTTAATCGGTTCCTGTTAAATCAGTGCAATCATTTGAGTGTCTGGGAATAGTGTGCAACAGCGGTCAACCAAAGTTTGTTTCTACTATTTTATACGTAAAGGATGACCTATAGGATGATCGTTCAACAAAGGATATTTTAATTTACAATGCAACCTTCAAAATACTCGGAAAGAAATAACGTTACCCTTACCTATAAAATTTGTTCAGACATTCTTACCAAAGTATGAAGCGGTTCTTACTATCCCCCACGCTCATGGGTCTCCAAAGAGAAGAAAAGCATAAACTTTAAATACATAAAACTTATTGATCGTAACCCCTAAACACACCAGCGCTATCGCCTCACATTATCTCTGACTACAAACATTGCGATGGAGAAGACTGTCATCTTTGATTTATCGTTGGACCGGAATCCGCCTGATCCATATTTACAGCTTGCGCCTTTTTACCTATGCGTGACCGGTGTTAGTACCACACGCACGCGCGCGCACGCACACACACACGTACGCGCGCGCGCGCACACACACATACACACTTCATCTCTTTGGATTTTTTGTTTGTTTTTCTGTATGACTTTTAAGAGATTTAGGAGACATTCACTTTATGCTTCTTTCCCAAGGTCACCCCCCCCCCATGTGATACAGTGATCTGAAGACAATGGCGGTAACCGCGGCTTTAGGAGTACCGGGGGGGATCTAGGAGACATTACGGGATTATCTCACCTTATTGTTCGTTCAAGGGGCGAGAAGTTTGGGGACGTCCACTGAAACACGTACAGTACCCTTCACCTCACGTTGTTTTAAAGTTGAAAGCCACTCCTCATTCTGAATCTACCCCCCTCATTTTAAATAGTGGTGTTTACTGTCAAGCCTGCGAGTGTTTTACTGCCATTGGCTTTTAAATACTTAACTGCCTCCCCTAAAAGAAATTTCTAGCTCCGGAAAGCAGGAGGAAATACACGACAGTTTCTCTTAAGGAAGTTAAACAGCATTTTAGGACAATGGAGGGATGCGTATTGTCTGAGCCTCCTGTGATTCTCATCTGACTTCATGAGGAATTGCACTGTGCAATTGATTATTAAAATTCAAACTCGGGAGCCGTATGGATTGTTTGATCTGGATGTTATCCTTGTAATTAATGAGGCGGCCAAGTAGCCAGATTTCGACAGGGATGCTTAAAAAATAGATCATTTAGGAGAAGAGAAACATTTAAACAAGACTACAATTAGGTAAGACTTAAACGATTCCATTTTATCATTCACACTCAGTAGTTAAATTTATACGACATGACTGAATTATACATGCTTAACTTTAAGGCATCTATTTTTTTCCTTCCGCACATGGCGCTTGTCGCCAGTGTGTCGCGTTAATCACCTGTGACAGTGCTGCTGTCCTTTACATGCCAAACATGCATCACCCGAAGAAAAATACAGCAGCAGCCCCGTCAGTGTATTTTGAGTTCGCGCACTGCGCAGAGCCGCCAGCTAACAGTGTCAGTCTGTTGACTGTCCGCTTAATCCGTGCCAATGACATTGGGGGGGGGGCTATGGGCATTCCGTTTGGCGAATCCCCCAGCTGTTTGTCATTCGGCTTCCGAAAGGTTTGGATCTTATGATTTTTAGGTTTTTAGTAGTATATGAATGCACTTTTTCCTGCGTGAGTTTTTGTGCGTGAGGGGGTAATATATCCCTTTCTTACCGCTGTAGCAGCCCACCCTTTGGGGCCGTGGTGACATTTGACACGACGACAGCAGTGAGGCTGTCCAGGCCGCCCCCGGGGCAGGGCCGTCCGCCCAGCAGGAGCCTCTGTTGTTGCCCAGCGGGGTTGTCTGACTGTGCTTGTAACCTAAACCCAGTCTCTCCACTCTCACCGAAAGGTCTCACCAGCAAGAGTGCAGAAAGACTCAAAGTCTCTCTCTCTCTCTCTCTCTCTCTAGGCTGCGTCCTTCTTGTTGCCAGGCAACAGGTGTTGGCTCAGACACTGCCCCCCCCTCCTCCCCCCGGCCAGGGGTCCACGGGCTGTTGCCTGCCTGGCCGAGAGGATTCATTAAGGGGGAGTTTGTCTCAAAGTGCAGCCATCTTCCCCTAAAGCCACGGCTGCTTCGGTGGGAATCTAAAGGCAGCATTTAACCACGCACCCAAAAAAGGGCTACAGCATCCTTCACGTTGCAATTGTTAGTCATGTATCATGTAGTCATTTACAGTGCGCTCACAAATGATTTTCATCTTTAAAAATCGTGACTCTCAGTAATTTCATCCGAATTAATTTTCTGTGCTTCGCCAAGATTAAGAATTGGGTATTCAATTAAAGCTTAACTGAAGGAACCGATGTAAATTAAATGTAAACGTAACGGTAAAAATAATGACTGGATCATGAATACTTGATGAATGCAATGCGCGCAATATGTGTTTGGTAAATATGTCTTGTATATTGTTATAAAATGTAATTAGAAATATTGTTCTGAACCATGTAAATTTGAATTGCATTACCTCAAACTATGAAAGTTTTAAAATAGTTTATACATATTTGGAAATATAAATAATGGATCAAATAAATACCTTTGCAGCTCAGAGAAGTGAGGGTGAATTTCTTGTGATTTACTGCCCCCTAGTGGAGAACAACTAACACCATCCACTGATTAAGTCACACCTGCATGGAACACAGGGACATCCATACTCCACACATACACAGAACGCGGGGCGGAGGCGGGTGGTGGGGGGGTGGTCTCAGCCCTCTGACCTTGGAGGGGTGAGGAAGCAATGCTGCCCATTTAGCCATCATGCTTCCTGGAAATGTACAAAATGCTTATGATGATTCCAACGTCAGGGGCTACAATGTGGGAAGTACAGATGCCAATCAATACCACTGATCTTCTTTTTGTTCAGATACACACTAATACCAATGTTGGTATCACAACTACGTTACGAAAGCTTCCTCACCCCATCCCCCCCACCCCAGTACAAAGACTGATATCAATTTTGGGGTGCTGATTATAAAATGAAACATTTCTGATCAAAAGAATCAATATTTCAGTACCAAATCCTTAGCGGAAAGTTTATTTGATTGTAATAATAGACTGCTGCCTATTTCAACTTCAGAAATATGCTTAACATCAAGATATGAACAAAGAGACAGAACATACCCAACTGAAGACAGAAGATGAAAAAAAGGTGAACCACTGGTTTGAAATACTCTTAACCAGAAATCCTCCCACAAACATTACAGAATAAAAACTATTACTCAGCTGAAGATGTTCTTACACTATTGTCTTTATTTGGAAGCAAGTGTTAATGCCGAATTAACAACACATCTGACAAATGAACTACAGTTTTGGATTCTTAAGAAAGTGCCATTTTATTATTTTGTGAAAACCACAAAAATGATTTATTGATCAATATATGAAGATTTAGACAATAAAGAGCACAGGGAAAGCTTTACAGAAGATAAACTATATTTGCACAGGCACATACATTTGGACAATATTTAGGTCACGAATTATGAAAGGAAAGCATGTATGATCAATTTTCACAAATCCAGCAACAAATATCATGTATCCTGACAATCATTAACAGTCATTGTCTAATAATCAACATTGGAAACTGTTACCAATGTTTGGCTACAGTGCAATGAAAACTGCTGTGTAAATTGTTGAAAAGCTATAAAATCTACAATACAAGAGCTATAAATTTTGGGTGCAAAACATTTTATAAAACAGTTTCACTTAAAAACAGACCAGACAGAATACACACACACACACGCACGCACACACACACGCACACACACACGCTACAAATCAAAACTAATTTTTAGGAATCATTGCAGGTTGTCACATAGCGCCTTATTTTCATTCTCATTTAAAATATATTTGCATCCAGTATTTGCCCATCCATTTTTGTAAAAGTGCACTGCCTTTTCAAAATTAATTTATTAAAAAATCCTATTGCATTAAAATGTCTGGACTAATAATAATAATAATAATAATAATAATAATAATAATGTCATTCCTTCCAGTACTGAAAATCACACATATATTTCTAAGATCCCAAGTTACATATTTCCAAGACTTTCATTCATCGTTCTTTTTTGCATTTACAGTGTTACCAGTTCAGCTGCTGTATGAAGACCCTCCATTGATTAAATTGTACTGGCCAGGGTTGGGGCCATTCCGGAATGCATTCATCAATTCCAGTCCAAATCAGGAAATGGAACTGGAGTTGGGATTGAAAAAAAAAACTATGGAGAACAGAATTGGAATTGAATTCGAATTTCAGGGAGATTTAAATCCCAACTCTCGGAATGGAATGGCCCCAACCTTGGTACTGGCAGTATCCTCTTTAAATCCCCCCCCCCCATCCCCCGTATAATACAGCTTCGATAGCTAGTCCTGAACTTCATCACTCCTGGTTAAAAAACAATGACACGGCCAGTTTTATAAAACACCTGAATACTATGAGATGTACATTACGTGACAAACACCAGGTCCTCGAAGATCGCAGAGCTGATAAGAGTGCACAAATTCAAAAGAAAAAAATAAAAGATGCATTACAGACACTCCTCTACTTACAAACTTTCAACTTACAAACTTTCAGTCATACAAAGGAAGAGGAGTGTCAGTCCAAATTGTGTTCCTTGGGCTCCCATTTCCTGTGCGCAACATCAATTTTTTTCCTGCACACCAATCCCGCCTGGTATGACTTCTGGCCGCTACTCCCGCCGCGCAGCAGCGCAGCGTGCGTACTCCCAGCATCCTAGCTCTTTGTACTTGCGTATACCCTTAAAATGATGTTGAATAACGACTTACGAATATTTCAAGTTATGAACGGCCGTTCAGAACGTAACTCATTCGTAAGTAGAGGAGTGTCTGTATATATAATGAAGTATTAGGAGACAAAGAAATGCTCCCTAACACTGAAGTCATCCTCTGTAGTGCCTGATTACCCACCGTCTCACAAAAAACGAACAAACAGGTATAATGGACACAGCCAGCCTGAACACAGTAGGTCTGGTTATCCCTTAACTGGAACAAACACTTTCTGTGTATACAGCAATGTTTGAAGTTCCAAAGAATGCATCTCACAAGATGGGAACTGAGTCTAGCGCAAACAACCATTAGCATCCATCCGTGCTGCAACCAATGCAGAAAATTACCAGAAACTGTATCCATTACAGAGAATCAGCAGAAAGTTCCTAGGTTCCCGGTCCAGTGGATGTACTCCCCTTCCCAACCTTCCACGTATTCTCCTGCGAATTCTTCGAGGTGTTTCACCATGGCCTTGGACGGACATGACCTGGTGGCTAATGCTCAACACGTGTCCCAAAGAGTTAATTCAGTCTCAAGAAGCCTATAGGTTCAGGACTGAGACTCACTGATAAGTCCTGCTGCTGGTCGTCACAGTGGGCTTCAGTTAGATTATTTGGGTGCAGTCTTGTGCTTACGCAGCCCGAAGCGGCAGCAGGCCGGTGAACGTGACCCTCAGAACAATAAGGCACATGTGCCCTGGCTTAAAGGGCGACTCTGGCACACTGGTACTTCAGCGTACAGGGCAGCGAGCCCCGGTTGAGCTGGTAGAACTCTACCAGCTGAATAAGGTCGGTGAAGCGCGTCTGACCATCATCCAGGCTGAAGAATGAGTCTCCCTCTGTCTCCACCTGCTCCGTAAACAGGCATGGTGAGACCCGGGTGAATATTGCATTGACAGAAGGGTCAGGTAATGGGGTAATGGGCCCAAAAAGACACAGAATTTGAGGAAAACATGCTTACTGGCAGGATCTGAAAGTGCTTGATTCTCTGTGCATGACACAGTGACAGGACAAACGCCTTGGGATTGCTCTGGCTGTCTCTCACCAGGAAAACCCTGAAAAGAAATGAGAACAATTTAAACTGTCCAAATCATCCTTTATTACATTTTCAATTGCTGAATCCACCCCGTGAACCCTGTCCAGAAACAGCAGCAGGAAGACAGGTGGATGATGGAATGACAAAGGAATCGTGAATTTCTATTATCTGATATGTGGCATATATTTATACATTACAAAACCCAGTGGATATCAAGATACAAGACAGAAAGACACAGTTTAATCGTTGTGCATGCAACACCTTGATCTTTCAGCCTTCTACAGTTGTTTTAGCCATAAATTTAATGAAGCCATTAAAAGTTAAAGGTGTTCTTTGTGTGCTGCTATGCATGCTGTCTCCCAATGTAAACAATGTTCTTTACAGCTCAATAAAAATGTCCGATAAAGCTAATATTTATGTTTATTTATTTGGCAGACGCTTTTGTGCAAAGTGACATACAAGTGAGGCAAATGGCACATTGCAAACAGACAGCTGTTGAGTCAAGCTTCCAATGAATGGAAACGTGCAAGTGTAAGCAGTACTGAAGCAAGAGCTTACACAACACCTTTCAAAAATAGCAGGAAGCTAATAATGCAAATGTTAAAATCAACAGACAATGCTGTGCCTACCCATCACTGAGACCCTGCTGGGCAATCAGGTGGGTGGCCTCATCTCTGGACAGTTTGCTGTGGAACCAGGGCTGAGCTCTGTGGATGCCTACTGGGGTGAAATGCATGTCAGCTTCATCACTCGCTCTTTACTGGGAGCTGTGGGGAGGGAACACGCTTTACTGACCTATGTTGGACAGAGGCCTACGGAGAGCAGAGGGACTGCCATGGGAACTCAACCGGTGGTAGCTTTTCCTCTGGGGGGTGGGGGGGGGGGGGGGGGACAGGAAGTCAAGACTCAGGTTCTGAGCCGGTGGAGGGATTTGCAGTGCACACCTTGACAGTCTTTCATCTGCACCTGAACTTCAGGAGAGGCTACCAAAAGTCTCACAGGACCAGCTGTCGAGAATCTCCCTACCCTCTCTTGAGTGATCGCACACCGTGAATATCTCTGCTGGTATGTACAGAGGCAGGGGCTATTACAGGATTTTTTTATGATGGGGGGGGCATAAGAGGGGGGTGTTATTTATACAGAGAGGCCCATCTTATCTTTGGCCAATGATATGTTTTGACTCGGTGAGAGATAGGGGATGGGGCACTCTGGGGACCAATCAGATTTCAGCTGGGGCCAGTGCCCCTGTGACCCCGCCCCTGTATATGGCCTTGGCTGGAGATGAACCTCGGGTGTCATGACGGACGGTGCACCTTCCAGGATAAGCCCTCTTCCACAGCAACAGACAGCGCCTCTGAAGGGTTCTCGATCACGCGGCTCTGGTGTCCGGAGAAGTCCATGGCTACGAGGGAGTTCTCCGAGATGCTCCTCTGGGAGAAACACGCACACTGAATGTACTGGGCCCTCGGGCCCTGAGGGCAGCAGGGGGAGCTGTCCCAAGAGGGGGCTGCTATTATACCGTTGAACAAGATAATTAACCTATACCCAGTGTTGGGGAAATTACTCATAAAAGCAATCCATTACCAGGTTCAAATCCAGACCAAAGTTTTGTTTCAACCAACCAGTTGAGTACTCTGTCACTGTAACTCTTTATACGCAGCTAGCTGGTTGAATCAAAACCGTGGTCTGGATTCGTACTTTCTGAACCTGAGCTTTCCACCATTGTCTGTAATGCTTTACTTTTCTGGGTAACTTTTCTCACATTGCCTACACCAGCAGAAAACCCATCTGTATAAGTAAATAAAATTATTCCAAACAAATGGGATGGGTCATTTAAGCAACTAAATGTCGATGTGTATTTATGAAATTCTACAAAATCACAGGGAGCATTAAAGTTCATCATTAATAGCCGGTGGTCTTCGTCATGTGCACATTTAACTGTCGTAATTAAAATTTCTACTCAGGTTGTAAATGGATGATATGACAATAAAGACGTGATTTACGTGGCGAAACGTACCATCGGTGATGCTTTCTGTTTCAGATGTGGCTGAAGGAAATTCTCGTACAGCTGCATCCCATGCTAACAGGAAACACATGTATCAATAAGCATATTTCAAAAGTTATAAGTATGATGTTTATTGAACTGTTTCAGACATTGATGTCAATGTTAAATTTATTCCAAAATTAATTCTAGTCATAAAATTAGCGTTTTGTACTATTAATCTCAGTCCAGTGGCAGCACCAGAAGAATGTTTGTAATTTTTTCATATTAATTTCAATGTTTAGAATTCACTGTTTGCATAATCTACATTCAAATCCCTATCAAATATTTTAACTGGGCCTTATCTGTTTACTACCTACTTACTTGTAGGAAACAGTGACCTCTGCTGGTGGGTAATGTACATTGCATTCAGAATTCAGCCCACCATCTATGATACGGCCCAGTTATTCCCAGCAGAACAGAAGGCATACCTAAGGCCCTTCCACCGTAAGGAGGTCTAGCGTACCTTAAAAAGACGCATCGCCGTGACCCAGCACGTCCTGGTGCGCTCGTCATCAGCACAGAGCATCTTCAGGTCTCGGGGGGAATCCGACTTGTGAGGCTGGCGAGTCAGTACATGCAAGTTAGGACTCATTTTTGCAGTTTGCGAGAAATGCACAGATGCAGCCATACTGCTGTAAAATAGCACTGAGCTGCAAAATACTGTACAAACAAACTAGGCCTCCTACTCTCTGCCTGCCCGTTGCAATGACATCATTCTTCATGTATATTTTTGTTTATCTTATTTCCCGCCATTCTTACGTTCTGACTGTGCTAAGTCCGCCTGCTCCCTTTTCACTTCTTTTCAGTGTTTACTTTTCCCAGTGTTGGCCCTCTGATGATAAGACGCCAAGCGGAAAGCCGATGATGGGAAAACCGCGCCCGTTGTTGTAGATAATGCCGAAGGCTAATTAGGTTCGATCACGATATCTCACAAGCCTCGGGCCTTATCACTAATGAACACATCTGGCAGCTGCACTTGTGGCTCCATAAAGTCATAAATACCAAACAGCAGTCATAAAACTATTAAATAATTTCAAGTTCTTTCTTAGAAATCGAAACTAAATGATTATTTGCAATTTGCACAAGTATGGAATGCTTCTGTTCACATATCCCATCTTTCCCTCCTTTTTTAGACATGTACACAGTCATGGTTAGGGGCAGGCCAATTATCGGGCAGCCCTAGAGCATTCTGGGGAGAATTACAGGCCCTGCTCCAGGGGGCAGTGGAGATGTGGCTATACAACCGTGGCTGGGGATCAAACCAACGGTCACAGGCCGATCCTGGTTAGCCACATCTCCCCAAACCCCGATACCCTAGTGTAAATTTATGGTATGAAGTTTATGTTCATTGCTTAATTACGGGGATTACACCAGGTATTGGGGTTTCCTCCGGAAGTCTAAACAGAAGCAGTTAAGGATCTCTACAATGCCCACAAAGCATGACTGGGTCTATATGTGTCCTGCTATGACCTGGCATCCCATCTAAAGTATTCCCCTGCTCCATGCCTTATACTGGCTCCCAGTTTTATCTATCCCGGTGTCAGTCATAGAGCTCAAATACCTTAATGCAGAACGCGAAGGCGGTTGGCGTGCCGTACATCTTCGTTGGCGACAGCATGGTGTACGTGTCACTGTCTCCGAACTCTGCCACGAACTGGAGATGCCGTGGTTCCTTGGGGGGAGACCGAGATAATCAGTAAAGCCGCGGACGAGGTACCGGGACGCCTGCTGCAGAACACCGGGTCCCAGCGGAACATGATACGTGCGAGCGCTGATCCAGGCTCGGAGAGGGTTTGTCATAACGCTGGCGGCGCGGTGCTGGGAACCACGGTCTCGCTCTGGCCCATCGTTACAGGGACACGGTCTGAGGAGCTGAGCCGCTGCAGAAGGAATGAGGAAAAAGCCGTAGCGGTCGGACCCTGAGAGAATGTCTGCGAAACCCTTGGCCAGCACCTATCTAATCTGTATCTAGTTCAAACATCCCTTATCCGCTACGCTGTGAGCCAACTGGTGAGTGTGAAAATTTTGGGGCTGGATACAAAGCACAATGAAGGGAATGTCGATTAGGCAAACACACGGGGACCCTGGCGAGTGTGTGCCGTAAGTGGAGGGAAATAAAGGCGGCCATTGTTGGGTCGCCGTGACGACCGCAGTAAATGCTGCAATCGCCACATCCCCCCGCCGCCAGTGCTCTCCTTACCAAGCAGGTGTGGAGTGCAGGACAGGGGGGTGGGTGATCGACACCCCCCGAGCCGGACCAAAAGGGTAGACCAACTACGCACACCTGGCCTGGGTGAGAATGCCGTGTCCGGATACGGGCGACAGAAAGCGGGCCGGCGGGGCCTCCTTGGGCGCCTAACAACAGCCTCTTTGTTCTCCTGAAGGCAGTGAGCAGAACCTGCTGGCAGCGCGTCTCACAGGTAAGAGCCGTGCCTGTCAACGCGGCCAAGGGCTCCATCGCTGGCATGCCGACGGACCTGAGAAGCATCCAGCCCAACCAGTTCTGCGGCGACGCACCTAACAACCCAGTAATCTTCCCAGCATCAGAATGTCAAAGTTTATTTTACTGTTACTTCTTTGGAAGCATCAGTTTATGAAGAAACGTGACTCAGCCCATGTGATATGTTTCTGAGGAAGCTTATGTGCACTTACTGAACTTTTGAAATTTAACAACAGTTCCCTGCTGGAATACATGAAGACATTAGTTCATTGGCAGTTTCATCTTAAAAAAAAAAAAAAAAAAAATGGAGTCATTTTTGAAAAATTGCTCTTAAGTTGTCTTAGGTGGTCCCAGGCTCTCTAAAGCGAGAAGAGGTAAACAGTAAACAGCTTGAACATAAGACGCTCCTCAAATATCATGACAGCTTACCTTTGACATCCCCTTGCTGGAAAAGTACAAGCCAGACCTCCGCAAAACAAAGTAGAACTTCTTCCAAGACTTCTTCCCTTGCTCTCTGGCATGGAGGTATCCACAGACCTCTGAGCACATGCTGGAGTTGAGAAACATCTGTTCAAGGAGAGAGTCTGTTCATATTGGTAGTGAAAGCTTGAATGAGATTGTAAGGAAAAGGAATAAGAATAAAATCAGCTAAACCAGTTACCTGTATCAGCTGAGAATGGGCCATCGTGTCATTGGTCTCACTTGATACAGACACCATGTGTTCTGGGAAAAAGTCCTAATGGGGTTTGAGGTGACAAGCATCACACTCACAGTTAGGTTGTTTATTACAGTACGGCTTCCCAAATAAAAGATAGCAGCCTGTTGACATCAGCTTTCAGTACCAGCAGAAATGAAAGCACCCTAGACCACAAAATCAAAAAATACCCACTCAACTGCTTCACGAAAGGGAGGGGGGCTTTTTAGCCCAAAGTGTATAACAGGAAGCGAACAGGATATGCAGATCTCAGCATGGACACAAGCTGTAAACAAGGGCTACGTACTGAATTCATATTGCTAATAAATATTCAGTCATTTAGTATTTATAATATAAAATGACAATCCAAAATACTTGTCCTGGATCAGTATTTGTTACTGCAGTTTCTACACAACTTCATTTAAGGATTTGCAGTACTTCACAGAGGAATTTGGCTCTTACCAGAGGTTTCTTGAAAAACTCATACTTGGCGTAATGCTTTCTAAAACAAAATCTGCTGCTGTCCACACTCCAACTGGACTGGACTTCCATCATTGACTCATGGTCCTCGATGGTTCGTTCTGGGGATCAGAGAAACGCCGATATAAAGCCAGGCTATCTCTTGAATTGTCAAAATACTCAAACTGTAGATGTTACAATTCTGGGGGAAAAAATAAAAACAATGCCGAAAGCTACGTAAATCATCAAGGTGACACGGAGTCTTGGGGCATCAACAAACACACAAGCGTCTCTGTCCTGAGCACAGCTGCATGACAACCTTTAAACACAATCTTATCATAAAATGTGATGCCATAAAATGCATCAATAATTAATGTGCATGTCACATTGTCTTAAAAATGTATTTAAAAACTGATACACAATGTAGATAGGCCTATCTAGCAATCAGAGAAAGTACAACCAAAAACGTCCTCTATAAGCAGCTGGAGAATTGTGTATGTCTAGTTTAAGACATGTGACTACTAATTTGTTAGTTATGTGTCACAAAACCAGCAGAAACCTATAGTGTTCAGCTCAATGTTTACTATCTTATGTTACTGGTGTGCTTCAGGAAAGACTTAAAAACTTTAAACTTAACAGAACTACAAATATTGTCCTGCACTGCAAATAACGTGAACCACTATTTACACTTGTTTTAAAATCTGTAATTAGTAATGACCTGATTAATGCTAATACTCATCCATTAAAAGATATCGTAATATAGATGGCCTGATATGCCCTGTGCAAACAACCTAAGCATTTACTCAGTTTCTCACGAGTTCTGTAAAGATTAAAAACGTATAAAATAGCCATAGACCATCTGTTGTTTATACATGATGTGTGTACAAGATAAGCTGTTACAAACAGCCTCTGCTAATATCTTTTATTGGGCCTCGAACCATTAGTTTTAATCGTTTTTTAGCGTGTTCCCTGTGGCTTTAAAGCTACGCACCACAGCCAGCATGATCTGTGGATAGAATATCCCTCAACTGGGAGCACATACTGGAGTGGATCTGCACTTTCCGACCTGGTCGTACCATCATCAAACTAGCATCTGTACCTACAGGTTATAGGCCTTTGCTACGCTGTTGGAAGCAGTTCAAATAAACAAGCAACATTCGCAGCGCAGTAAGTTTTTTTTATACGTTTATTGAGCATATGAATAGAAGAAAGAAACTGTTGTAACCTTTATGGGCGCTTATCTCATATTATCAGTTTGCTATCTTGTTTTTTTTTTGTTTGTTTTTATAGTAGAGTAATGGCGATAGGTTTGATAGTGGCAGAAATATGTTTGAAATTTTTACGTGCTCACATGTTTTTTTTCTTTAATCGTCGCCCTCTCAAAATCTTTATAACGAATCACATTCATACTGGTCCCCCCCTTCCCCCGCACCCCCCAATATATTATTACGTCTCTTATGTATTATCAGTAATGTTTCAATATTATGATTACGATTCTGTGATTTCTAGGCATAGTTCTTAATATTCCTGAATCATTAAAACGTTTCTGACTTCAAATGTGTTTTAATTTCAGTGATATATGATTCGGTGACAAAAATGTATAATTTACTGTAAACAATACTTAACTGTTTTTTTCCCCCTGCATTGGTATTGTTACTGTACCGGTATCATGATACTTAAAGTTTTATCGATATTGAGGTCATAACTAAGTATCATGACTACTAGGGATAGCTGTTGGCCAAAGACTAGCAACAAAAAGAGTTCCATCTACCCATTTTCTGTATTCGCTTGATCTATTCTGCATGGGGGGGGGTGTCCGGAGCCTATACTGGAGGCTACAGGTGGAAGGCAGGGAACAACCCAGGATGGGGCACCAACGCATCGCAGGGCCCACACACACCCAGACACACACACACACACACCATTCACTCACACAAAAGGGTTCAAAAAAACATTTTTAGTAATACTAAACAGGCCAACCCCCTAAAATGTTCTTCAGCTCCCCCAAATAAATGTACACAAATTTGTTTAAATAGTGTGTTCTCATTCTTTTACCTTCAGATCAGACCACCCTAGTAAATGCTTTGAGCTGCTGGTCTAAAGGCTTTCAATAGTGATTCAGATTCACTTCATCAGCCTTGATTAACCTTTACTTTGTAGGAGTTTCTTCACAGGAGTTTGCTGTTTTCCTCATAATAGCTGTCATGCACATGCCTAAGGAGGACGAGCATGACGCACGAGGCCGGGCTTACATTCCCTACCTATGCCCAAGTGAGCCAGCTGCTCAAACAGCGTCCAGCTGTGGTCATCGACGCACTGCTTCTTCAGCACAAACAGCTGGCAGACGTCTCTGGCGGTAACATCAGTGGGGACCTCCAACGCTCGACTCGTGTTATCGTCGTTGAACACTTTGATGACCTGCAATCAAGGACATAGATTTGGGTATGGACAGCAGGGTCAGCTCCCTGCCAAAATTATGGGAGTATCGGGTGTGTTTGGTGGGGGGGGGACTGGGGCTGATTTGGTCTCTACCAATGCTGAAACAAAGCCTACACCCTTACCTGCAACACATTTGCAAGCATATACACACAAGCAGGGGCATAAATTATGGGGGGATGGGGGGGGTAGGCTAACCCTAAGACTAAGCCTAACCCTAAGACTAAGCCTAACCCTAAACCTAACCCTAACCATAAGCCTAAGCCTAACTCTAGTCCAAAGTTATGCCCTTGCACATAAGGACTTTTAACTTTAGTTTTGACTAAATCTTTCTCCCAGTCAATGCCGTAGAGAATAACTTAATAATTAAAAAACAAAAGTATATTAACTGATGAATGAAGCCCAATCAAATATTAAGGGGGATACACCCCCTGCTGTCCCCTGCAGCTCCTGTGTCCCTGCTCCCCATCTAATGCCACTTACCTATATGTGTGTGTTTACGGATTTATGTAATATGTAATGCATGGACTATAGTTTGCATAGACTTTCTTAGGGTGGAATGGGATGGAATCCATACATCATACATGCATAAATCAGTCAGTTTTATTTTTAAAAGTAGGGAAGCAGGAAACCTCCCCGTCACTGCAGAATATCTCCATTCTCGCCATGCAGGCTGTGCCACACAGCCCTTACCCTGTGATTCCAATTTACTAGAAAAAAAGTAGTACTTTGATGTTCTCAGAGATCAGTTCTTCGAGATGTCAGAGCGGGTCAGCTAACACCAAGGTTCAGCTACGGCAGAAACAGCTTCTTTGAAATTTGCACCCAAAGACAGACAGACAGTAGTGGACCCTTTGATTTCCCCGGCCAATGACACAGATGACAGCGAGATAGAGGAGCACAGTAAGTGGCGGCGTCTAACTCACCCGTCTGCCTGCAGCTGCGCTGACTTGTGAATCTGCGTTAGTTTTGCAGCTCATATAGGGCTGAGTGCACAACATTATCAGGCAAAATTTGCACACAGACACACGAGACTTCAGGCTGGGTGCGCCGTGTCCGCTGGGAGGCGGCCGGCCCGCCTGCCTTGCTGCAGCGCAGCTCAAATGAGGTATTTAGGAAGAGGTGCTCCTCTCGCCCCGCGATTTCCTGACTTCGCAGATATATGTCACTGGGGGGCTGTCGGCCAATCAGCTGCCGGCTCTTCTCAAGCAAAAGAGTAGAGGATGGGAGTTTGCTCCAAGCAAGATTTAAAAAAAAAAAAAACTAATGAAAAAGTGAGAAATGTCAGCGGTAGCCCTGCCCGCCCCTCTGAAAGCCCAGCGTGAGTCTGCAAGCGGTCGCTAAGTGGTGGGGTAAACGCAGCACCGATGGGGTCAGCACCACTTGGAGTTTGCGGGGGTGGGACAGGGGGGTAAGAGAGGGAGGCATAGCAAAGATCAACTGCCTGACTGCCTATCATGCTCTCTCTCTCTCTCTCTCTCTCTCTTTTCTTTTGTTTTTTTTTTTTGCTCCTCTTGCAGCTGAAGGCTGAGCCACCAGACAGGACGGGCCAGCTCGCCTTTGTGGAGGAAAATGAGGTCACGGCTCTCTCCAGCCCAGACAAAGTTAGCACCCTTCAGGAGCCACCAGCCAATGAGAGTGCTCGGCCGTGACATCATCCCCAAACAAGGTAAATGAGCAGCTATTTCAATCATAATCAGTGCCAGAGATTTACTGTAGCAGGCTAAAAAGAAGCTCACTTTTCATTCACTCAACAAATGTCGCCAGGCTGGTTTATTGATTTTTTTTCCTTTCACGGGAGTTTTCTCTGCGTACATAGCATGTATCTGCCGAAGAGGTGATAATATGTAAAATAATATCCCTGCATCACTCCAGCGCAACAATAAGGAAGTCATCGAAGCTAATAGAGTTTGACTGGTTGCTATCAGCTTGAAATTCATATACTGAGTATGAGATATGAGTATGACATGAGATAAGTCTCCACATAGCTACAGCTTGTCAGCAGATGGACATCAGGATCATCTACTCCAATGCTTACAGAAACAGCACCTTAAAATCCAGTCTATTTCAATACAGCAATCATATGACATACCCTTAACTACCATTCAGTGCTTCATGTCCAGGATTAATTCACGGAATCTCAAAACCTAGTTCATGAATTTCCCTGTTTATACTCAAATTGGTTAGTTCCCCCAGACGTGACCCTCCCCACATCCACAACGATCCCAGTATCAGCTGGCTCAGCAGCCTCACATCCTGTCCAAGTCCTGCTGCAGCCTCTGACCTCATTACCATCCTGTACCTTACACTCCAGTCGTTGCAATATATATTGCATCACTCTCTCGCTTGAAGAATCATACATTAGCATTTAGCAGATGCTTTTATCCAAAGCGACATCCAGCTGGGTCTGGAGAGATCAGGGTGAGGGCCTTTGCTCGCGGGCCCAACAGTGACATCACCACCTAATCCCAGGCAGAACCGGCTGGGCCACAAACCATCCCACAAGAACCTGTAAAGCTGCCCCTCGGTTTTTAATCTTTCATTACAGAAGTCTTTTAGAACCTTAATCCATCAAAGTGCTTCATCTCAAAGATGATAACCATCATCCTGTCGCAGTAACTGCTCGTACCGTCATTTCTCATCCTATGAACTAGTTTGCGTTGTTCATTAGGGATACGAGCGTGGATTTATATAAGGTTTGTCCCGTGTCTTTTGGCTGTGTTCTAGTAGCGATAGTAAAACCTGCTGACAGAGTGAATTCTTAAGCTATGAAAACCATCAGCATTTAACTGCCTTCATGTAAGAATAAAAAAAAAAACTGGCACTGAGCCTGAAATCTGTTCTCCAACAAGACTATGACTGAGTCTTAGCATAATGATACTGAGAAAATATCTGGGATAAATACGGACAGTCCAGCACCTTTACAGTGGGGGCCACACTGACATTACACAAAATAATAAATCCCTACCCCCTCTACTGAAGAATGGCTATCATTGAACCCTGCATTAAAAAAGTTACATTATTTGAACATGTGTGACACGTGGCACAAATAGGTACCACGTGCATAAGTGAATCAGCTTTTCCAAGAAAGTAGTAGAGCACAAGAATTAAGTGCCAAGATCTCCCATCAGAATTGCATTATAATAATTCAGAGAGAAAAAAACAACAACCGAGTGATCACTTTAACTGCCCACTTCTGGAGAACAGTAAACTAGCTTTAAATTCTGTCCATACAGTTAGTATCGTGGTTGGAGGGTAGATCCCCTCGCTCCCATAATTCCCTAGGTTAAGGTAACCTGAATTACTCTGGTAAAATATCTGGCTGAGCATCTTTAAAAAAGGCTACTATACCACACCTTAGTGATGTCTTTACTACATCAGGCCATAACAGTGACTTAAGTGCTTATATTTAAAACATATTAACTCATTCACAACACTCTAGTGCCAAGAGAAGCATGAATATCAATGAGCATGGAAGAAACGTACGTCTTTCATTTGTCACTTAAACAATGGGAGACACCTAACTAATCGGTGTGTAGAGTTAAGGAGCGATTACTGGAAACTGCCAGTACTGAAGTCTTAATTGTGTAGTTTGTGTGGGTCCTTTCAGAGCAATATGAGATGCTGACGATTAATAAAACGGCGAGAGGTGGCAGAGCGGACAGGCGGACGCCCTTACCCGCTTCTGAAGGGTGATTGGTGTGATTACCGGCAGGGTAACCCTCCTGGCACGGAAGTTCATGGCTCTCGCTGGACCCTTGACAAGCAGGGATGCGTCCGTAGGGAGTCGGTGACGACGCAGTCACCTCCTGCCAGCTCCCTGTCGCCTACTCCACGGTCCTCCCCGCGACGTAAGCGCCGCCACCTGCAGAGGGAAGCCCGAGGTCCGCTGCAGTGCGCGGTGGCCCGCTTCCCGGGTGATGAGCCTCCCCTTCAGCCTTGGAAATGTCTCCCTCTCTGAGTCACCCCTTCATCCTAATAGAAGCAAAACAATGATTAAAAATAGCTTCTCTGACAAGGACGGCAGGCTGCGGGAGCTCAGGGAGAATGATCTCTATTTACATTCGCATTTCAGTGTAAATAAACTGTAATCTAAACTGTAAATATTTGTAAATATACAGAAGTCAACTGGGCAGAAATTATTTCTTAATCTCTTACTGAAATTCTGCAAGAGAAACATTACCCTCTACATGATTTTGGGGCCTGAACAAAGAGTGTCACAGACCATGTGGTTAGAGTGTATTTTACTGTTTTTTTATTTTTGTAAAACCCTTGTGCAGATTACATCAAAGGAAAGGCTGGTTGATGATACAGAGGCCGGAATGGGCAGGACTGAGATAGAGCTGTGGAGAGACACTAATTGCTGAATTACATGCCATATGTCAAACAGGCCTCTGAGTTTGGAAACACAAAGGAGTGCTTCCATAAGGTACACTTTCGAAATCTCTGTCCTGCTGTCAGATTTGAACTCAGTGTTTCCTAATCCAGTCCTCAGGGACCCACAGACAGTCCATGTTTTTGCTCCCTCCCAGCTCCCAGTAGGAGAAAGGAGGGTCAGATGGTCCCTGAAGCAAATGAGGGCCTCGCTCAAGGGCCCAAAGGTGAAGTTATGCTTTTGACGCAGGCATTTGAACCAATGACCTTCCGCTTACAGGCACGGCACCCCACACACTGCCCCCCCTCTGACATAACTCAGTGTTAATCCAAAGGCTGGTACATTTCAAATGGAATATTTAATTTACTGTATAAATATACATAAAGGCACAGACAGAGTGATAATATAATTATAGGTGTAAGACCTGTTGTACCATTAATTTTTTCCTTTTGATGGATGTGGTATTGGATGTTTCGCATGTTCCATTTGTCTTCCATTAATAAAGTGTCTTCATTGGTCACCCCCTGCTAACATAGACAGATTGGTATCACCTGACCACAAACCCAGCTGTCTGGCTAGGACTTTCATTACAGTCTGTTCTCCATTAAAATCATACAGTAAATACATTTGTCATGTAGGGTAATTGTATATATTTCAGAACTTCTCCCTGAAATCACAAAAGTTAATATTAACCTTACGTCGGCTCCACATTGTGTTATTAAAATACGACACCCCTCCCGCTATATACTCAGCACGGGAAAGTGTCTACTGAAGTGGATATAGATGTTGAGGTTAAATTTCAACTTTGCTTATGCAGGAGTAATACTCCCCCCCACTGATGCCCCGCCCGCCCCTCCACAGAGCTGAAAGGTTTATCTGAGGCCTGGGCACATCTCCTTGGGGGAGTGCAGACTCCAAGACGCTGCCGGTTATCGGCAGGAGCCGCAGTGAATCGGAATTGCTGGAGCCAGATTGATAAGCGTCGCGGTAGGACGGCCAACTCCATATGAGCCAAGTCCGTGGGTCCGATCCAAACGGGGGGTGGGGGGGGGGGGCGGTCTGTATCTGGCTGTCCAGGACAGCCG